ATTTGGAAACCTTACCCACCAACCCCCTGCCCCTCCCCGGACCTCAACGGAATCGGTCTCACTTACCAAGTCAACCTCGGACACGTGGACGTGACAGACTTGGATGAAGAGCGAGGGAGGAAACGGATGCGTTACTGCGAGGAACCCACACCCAGCGACGATCAAGCTTCCAAAAGGACCAACACGCCTGATTCGCTCCGCGGAAGGTGTAGATACCGCTCGAGCAGTGTTCTGAATAGAGCTTGGCCGAGGGAGGAGAGGAGGGGAGGGACAGGGAGGAAGAGGCATGAGAGAAGTCGTATGTACCTACAATGGCGATACCAAGTGGGATGGGTGCTGATTAGGAACGCACAGAAAGTCCGTCGAGGTCGGGGTCGCCGATGGGGGAGGAGGGGAGGAGGAGGATGAGGACTAGGAGTCGGGGGAGGGAGCATACACGGTGAGGGGGGGCTGGGTTCTTCTTTTATTAAGGGGGGTTATATGCAATGTGGGATTTGGAGCTGGTTGTTGTGTTGGGAATAAGTTGACATCATGGGTTTGATAGCCAGGGTCAGTGATCACCTTTCGTCAAGGGGCCTTTCGGCGTGTTGAATGATTCTCATCTCGTGTGATTAAATGTGAAGCAAGTGTTTGCCTGTGGTGTGTTCCAGGTTTTTCTAACGGTTGGGATAGGTATCGGATAAGATTTAGGATAGTGCCAGCCTTTTCTTTCAGATTTTTTATTATCTTATAGTCATCTCATCTCAGTAGATACACCATGCTGTTGCCTATCGTGTGTTGTTGCTCTGGACCGGTGAGGGTATCAAGTGAGATATTGATAATGGCCATAGTTTTTCAAATCGTTCCACCGCTGAACACATCAGATAAATATCGCAGACGGTAACTGCATCCTCTACCATAAAAGCGGCTTATCTGATGTCGCCCCTACATTTGATATCGTATGTTGTTGCTCTGGGCCGGCGGGCAACTGCATTAATTCTCTGTGATGTTCCAGGCTGTTCCACCGGTGAGAAAAATCGGACGAGTTTGTTGATGGTTACTGCCTTCAAGTGCTTTCTTGAGAGATATCTCATCTTATCTGGGTGAATATGCCATCCGTCTTCCCATCGTAAGTTGTTGATGGTGCTCATCAAGATATTGGTTCCAGGCTGTTCGACCGGTGAGTATATCGGATGAGATTTGGAGATAGTAGCTGCTCATTGTCTAGGGGGCTTTTGGGATGGCATCTGGTCTCCTTGACCGGTATCGATCATTGTCATGTTCCAGGTTGTTCACTTACTGTTTCAAGAAGGCCCTCAATAGGTAATCAAAACATCTTTATCCCATCTCATACTCAATGTTGCCCATTGTAAGTTGTGGAGCCATGGGGGCGAGATCGCTCCTGGCGTCCCGTCACTGTGCAAACAGAGGTTACAGAAGTGGTTGATGATGCATCAAGGGCCTTCTAGTGCCGTTCTGAGGCTGCAGTTGGGATTGGTAGACAGCGAAGAAATCCCGAGGACTGTCTCTGACTGGTGTCTTGGCCGATCGCAAATATCCCATCTTGCATGTCCCTTGATGGCCCTTGATGACATTTGCCGCCCCTGACGCCGATTTGAACTTGGTACGAGATAATAACATAACCACACCGCAACAAGAGGCTTTGCCCCAGCGTCTGATGCATCACGGTCGCTGTGGTGGACTAAGCAAGGCACGGTCTGCGCAGCGGCACGTGCCACACCAACCGCTGCAATCTTCGAGGGTCACGCGCCTATCGCTCCCAGCCGATTGCGATAAAGCCTCTCGGCTCTCAAAAAGTGAGCGACCAACCCAGCCAACGTCAACAATAGATTCCCAGCTCCCACAATATCCTGCCAGGTTATTTGCAGTGCTCACTCTACTCTACTCTCCCAACTCTGCCCTCACCGAGGATCCTCCACACTCACCGTCTTCCTTCCTTTGACAACCTCTCTCCTTCATCTCCCGTTGCCCTCCCTAACTTAGTCTACGACATGGCCCTGCGGACATACAATG